TTAGAATTAAGTCTCTCCTTTTGTGTCACACTGACATGACAGTTGACCTCCTCTTTAGAACTACAATTCCTGAAGGTTAGAACTACAACATGGCAGAACACTCAGTGCCTACAGAAGAGGTCATAGGTGAATATAAAAACTAAAACATGGTGGAACTGTCAGTTACTACTGAGGAGGACTGAGCTGCTCTTTAGAATTACAATGACTGCTGTTAGAACTACAACATGGCGGAACACTCAGTGCCTACAGAAGAGGTCATAGGTGAATATAAAAACTACAACATGGCGGAACTGTCAGTTATTACTGATGAGGAATCAGCTGGCCATGACAAGTACTTGGTTTTTGGGAATTTTAGAACTGATTTCAAAACTCCATAGTTACACATGGGATTAGTGTTACCATTAAAATTAAGCTTAATGTAAATTTCAAAATAAAAGCCTTGACAATTTTTCCATCAAGTAATTGCTCTTTTGACCACTATATAACTGATTTAACCCGATCAGTGTTAAACATGGGATGAGATTGGCCATTTAAAATTAATCTCAATGAAAATTTCAAAATAAAAGCCTTAAGATTCCTTTCTGGCTCATGCCTATTTTTGGTAAAATCGCTGCCTCAAACTGATCGAATTATGTCTCCCCCTATCTGACTCACAGCTGGCCGAGGATCCATTACGATAGCAACGGAGCACAGCAGGGCCAGTGGTTAGGACTACAAATACGCATCACTGTAGTTTTTATTATGGCAGAGCTCTGAGGAAGGTGTTGGCCTTTAGAACTACTTGTGTTTTGGGCATTTTATAACTGATTTTATCCAACCATTGTTACACACAGGATTAGTGTGGCAATTTTAAATTAAGCTAAATGAAAATTTCAAAATAAAAGCCCTGAGATTCTTTTATATTATGTAATTGCTCTCTTGGGCATTATGTGACTTTTTTATATACACCACTGTAAAACTTTGGATTATTTTGGACATTTAAAATGAAGTTTAATGAAAATTTCAAAATAAAAGTCTTAAGATTCCTTTCTGGCTCATGCCTATTTTAGTGAAAATGGCTGCCTCAAACTGATAGAATTATGTCTCCCCCTGTCTGACTCACAGCTGGCAGAGTATCCATTACCATAGCAACGGAACACAGTAGGGCCAATTGATTAGGACTACAAAAACGCATCACTGTAGTTCTAACATGGCAGAACTCAGAGGAAAAAGCTGGACTTTAGAACTGCCTGTGTTTTGGGCCTTTTATAACTCATTTTAACCAACCATTGTTACACATGGAATTAGTTTGGCAATTTTAAATTAAGCTTTAAACAAATTTCAAAATAAAAGCCTTGACAATTTTTATATTAAGTAAGTGCTTTTTTGACCATTATATGTCTGATTTAACCAAATCACTGTTGTACATGGGATTACATTGACCATTTAAAATTAAGCATTCTGAAAATTTCAAAATAAAAGCCTTAAGATTCGTCTGTGGCTAATGCAGCGCCGCGGGCGCTGCAATGATATTAGCTTGCATGATCTTTTCCTCTCAAGTTACGACACTGTCTTGCGCAGCAAGGTAGAGCATTAGCATTAGCCTTTTACCGTGCATGAGGTATTAGCTATTTCCCTTACTTAATGCAGTAAGTCATGCTTGTGACTCTCCACATGGTATTGATGACATTGCAGCTTTCTTTAACATGGATGCTAATGTTTAGCATCAGAACGCTGGGTCCAAACTGACGGGCACACTTTGGCAGGCCCCGGTTAAATTTCTTCAGGAATTTTCTAGTTATTATTGGGGCCTGCCTAGCAATGCATAAGGAGAGCAGTTACTGACTTGCGAAGCAAGTCAGTAACTGCCTCCATGCATTGCATGGCAGGCACCTATTAATGTACACCCAATAGAACGCTTCTTTATTATTGGGGCCTGCCTAGCAATGCATAAGGAGAGCAGTGACTGACTTGCTAAGCAAGTCAGTTACTGCCTCCATGCATTGCATGGCAGGCACCTATTAATCTACATGTAATAGAATGCCTCTTTATTGGGGCCTGCCCATAGCAATGCATAAGGAGAGCAGTGACTGACTTGCGAAGCAAGTCAGTCACTGCCTCCATGCATTGCATGGCAGGCAACTATTAATCTTCACCTAATAGAACGCCTCTTTATTATTATTGGGGCCTGCCCATAGCAATGCATAAGGAGAGCAGTGACTGACTTGCGAAGCAAGTCAGTTACTGCCTCCATGCATTGCATGGCAGGCACCTATTAATCTACACCCAATAGAACGCTTTATGCATTGCATGGCAGGCACCTATTAATCTACACCCAATAGAACGCCTCTTTATTATTGGGGCCTGCCTAGCAATGTATAAGGAGAGCAGTGACTGACTTGCGAAGCAAGTCAGTTACTGTCTCCATGCATTGCATGGCAGGCACCTATTATTCTACACCTAATAGAATGCCTCTTTATTGGGGCCTGCCCATAGCAATGCATAAGGAGAGCAGTGAATGACTTGCGAAGCAAGTCAGTCACTGCCTCCATGCATTGCATGGCAGGCACCTATTAATCTTCACCTAATAGAACGCCTCTTTATTATTATTGGGGCCTGCCCATAGCAATGCATAAGGAGAGCAGTGACTGACTTGCTTCGCAAGTCAGTCACTGCCTCCATGCATTGCATGGCAGGCACCTATTAATCTTCACCCAATAGAATAGAATATAACTCTTTATTATTATTATTGGGGCCTGCCTAGCAATGCATAAGGAGAGCAGTGACTGACTTGCAAAGCAAGTCAGTAACTGCCTCCATGCATTGCATGGCAGGCACCTATTAATCTACACCCAATAGAGTGTCTCTTTATTTTTATTTTTCTTCCGTCAACCGGAATGCGGCTCGTACCGCTGCGAGCCCACCCACAAAGTGGTATCAAATCGTGCGGCTCGGCGCCGGGAGGGGTGCTATTACTTTTGGTTGGGATTCGGAGTTACAATAAAAAAGTAAAAAGCGAAAAACCATCAAAAATTCTTGTCAGTTAGAAACTGCCCAAACTAGAGTGTAATCAACGATTCGTTAGAGTGTGGGAAGCACTGCAATTCTGACCTCAAATAAATTTTGAAATCGCTGTCACGACCACAAATATCGCCCTATCGGTATCAAACTCGGTCATGACATAGATACGCATGCCTGCTCTGGTAAAATGTTTTCAAAATATTCCTAGGGCTTACGGTTTTCTGTCTAGGGGCTTCAGAGCAAAGCGACAGGATTTCGACTCGCTCAGCCAGGATCACTTCCATGTATTTCTGAAAAATGTCAGACCTCAGCGCACACCATTTTTATCTCGTCGCTGTTATTAATGTGAGTGATGTACAGATATGAATAGCGGGACTATAGGAGACGAAAGATAGCGCTCTCATACGCTTCAAACGGTTTTCTGATACGTATCACGATTTGCGAATGGGAAGGAGTTGTTCGGACCGCTTTTTTCAGTGAAAACTGGGTGTCTCACAAAGATAGAATTCTTTCTGTCTCACACACATGACAGTTGCAGAGGATTAATTACCATAGCAACGAAGCACAGCAGGGCTGAGCAGCTGATTAGAACTACAAATACGCATCACTGTAGTTTTTACTATGGCAGAGCTCTGAGGAAGGAGCTGGCCTTTAGAATTTTAAATTAGAACTACAAAAACGCATCACTGTAGTTTTTACTATGGCAGAGCTCTGAGGAAGGAGCTGGCCTTTAGAATTTTAAATTAGAACTACAAAAACACATCACTGTAGTTTTTACTATGGCAGAGCTCTGAGGAAGGAGCTGGCCTTTAGAACTACTTGTGTTTTGGGCATTTTATAACTGATTTTAACCAACCGTTGTTACACATTGGATTAGTGTTAATTAAGTTTAATTAATCTTAATGAAAATTTCAAAATAAAAGCCTTGACAATTTTTATATCAATTGCTGTTTGGAGCATTTTAGAACTGATTTAACAATCACTGTTACTCATGCGGGTTGGGTTAGGGTTGAATAGATTGGACATTTAAACGAGGCTTACTGAAAATTTCAAAATAAAAGCCTTAAGATTCCTTTCAGGCTCATGCTATTTTAGTGAAAATGGCTGCCACAAAACTGATAGAATTAAGTCTCCCCCTGTCTGACTCACAGCTGGCAGAGGATCCATTACCATGGCAACGGAACACAAGGGGCCAGCTGATTAGGACTACAAAAACGCATCACTGTAGTTCTAACTATGGCAGAAGTCAGAGAAAAAAGCTGGACTTTAGAACTGCTTGTGTTTGGGCCTTTTATAACTATTTTTAACCAACCAATGTTACACATGGAATTGGTGTGGAAATTTTAAAAATTAAGCTTTAAAAAAAATTCAAATAAAAGCCTTGAGAATTTTTATATTAAATAAGTGCTCTTTTGACCATTATATGTCTGATTTAACCAAATCACTGTTATACATGGGATTACATTGACCATTTAAAATTAAACATTCTGAACATTTTAAAATAAAAGCCTGAAGATTCGGCCGTGGCTATGCAGCGCCACAGGCGCTGCAATAACATTAGCTCTCATTATCTTTTCCTCTCAAGTTGCGCAGCAAGACTGTGCATTAGAATTAGCACAAACATTAGCATTTCTCTGTTCCCCACTAGTGCACTTCCATAGGCAGTGCAATAAGATTGTCCTGCATGATCTTTTCCACTCAGGTTAGCCTTTACCTTGCATGAGGTATTAGCTATTTCACTTACGTATTACCCATATTTAGTATACTGAATGCAGTAAGACATTCTTGTGACTCTCCACATTGAATTGATGACATTGCAGCTTTCTTTAGCATGGATGCTAATGTTTAGCATCAGAACGCTGGGTCAAAATCGACGGGCACACTTTGGCAGGCCCCGGTTAAATTTCTTCAGGAATTTTCTAGTTTGGATGTGAAATGAAATGTCCAGAGTTCACAGTGTATATTTAAATAATTTTTCTTTCTTTTTTACATTTCAATAGGGCGTGGTACCGGCTGGCGCCATGCTGTGAGACCGTGGACGGCTACTGAAGTGACCAACCACTGTCACAAGCTGGTCATTCCAGAGGGACTGCCCGATAAGAAAGTAAGTAAAATCAGCAACAGTTTCAAATAGAATATATAGGCATAGTTTTTATTTTGCTGTATTTTTCTATTTTAGTTTGTTCTTCTGATCGGCGCATCCCATTTGAGATCGTTTGCGGACGACATTGTTGAGATGGCAAGCGGCTGTTTCCAGTTTGGGTTTATGTCCACTCCTGGTGCTTGCGCAGGTGACTTGTGTCTCGAGGTGTTGAATGCAGTTGTACCTCGGGAGCCTGATGCTGTCTGCATTATGGCTCCATCAAATAACCTTACGGCCAGCCGTCACCCAGAAGAAGCTGGAGAGGAATTTGAGAGATACCTGAAGGCTGTCTGTAGCCGTTGGCCGAAGGTACTGTAATCACTGTGGTTAATGAAAAAAACAGTTCTCAATGTTGTTTCACAGAAACTGCTGCTCTGCATGTTTTAGGTATTTCCCTTCAGACTTTCATATAAAACATGCAGAGCAATGGTCACTTTTTATCTTTTAGTGAATGTTTGAAAATTTTTCTATTGTTTTTTATTATATTTTCAGGGATTCCATATTATCCTCTCGCTGACTACTTTTCTCTGAACTCCCTCAATCTGTGGTGCCGCGATGGTGTGAGTACTTCTTTTCAAACACCCTAAGAAACAATTCTGCATTTATATGACATGCTGACCTTATCTATGATTCTTAATAGATCCACTTGTCTGACAACCACGGTATGCAAATCCTGAAGGAACTGATTTGGGTGTTTTCCTATCAGTTCATGGAGTCCTCAGCACCAAAGCCACTGGTGCAGAGTCAGAGAACTCCTCCCTATCAACCGAGGTTTGTGCCCCGTGTGGTTGTGAAGGGAGAGGAGCATTCTCGACCTGCTTCTCCGCTACCTACTGAATGGATGCTCGTGAGATCTGGCAGGAAGGTATGACTTTTTTGTTTTTGCTTGCAGTGGAAGAAAGATGTTTAACTTTAGCTAGTCATCCTAAAAATTACATATCTCATCTACCTTTGCAGAGGAACTACTCGGGAGAATCAGACGATTCACCCAAGGAAAGAGTGGTTCATTGCCAGGTGCGTCAGACTTGCACCTTTATATAATTTCAATGTCATTGGTCTCATAATAATTAAAATTTTGCTCTTGTAGAGGGACCACACTGTGTCAAGAAAAATCCGAGATCATCCCACTTCCCCATGCTGGAGATTTTAGTTAACAGTTACAACAAATAAAGTTACCTTTAAAATAAGTCACACAAATCACATCTAGATCCAACAGTAGACCCAGACTGCAATAAAATAAATCTGGTTGTGTGTGTTGTTTTGTCTCCTGCAAACTTAGCTTTCATTATACTTATTTTTTATATCTAATCATAAGAAATCATAGTCAGAGAGAGAGATGAGACAGGGAGAGCAGGTTTCCTGGAAAAAGAGGAAGTAAGTTTCCAGCTTGCAGCTGTATAAAAATAGCTGAGACCAGTCCTTGTTTAAAAGCATAAAAGTTTCAAAGGATAAAATCTAAACATTTTGAGTAATTAGATAAGATTTAAAGTAAAGTACTTATATTAATATTGGTTTACTTATAACAATACTTACTGACACTTGTGGAAAAACGTACAAGTAAAACAAGTAACTAACTTTGGTATCAAATAATAAAAGAGTAATAAGTTGTGATTATCATAAACTTATAAATGAATGCTAAATTAAAGAAACTAATAGGTTTATGAATGTGATTTTAACATTGAACTTGAAATGGTGTAAATCATGTATCTGCTATTAAAGATCACTGATGATGTGTTGGAGGTAGATAGTAGGTGAGAGGTTAGGGGTAAAATGGGGACTAACGGAAAAGCAGAGACGACCAAGACCTTATTAGGAGATAGCTTGTTGAACAACTTTCACGTGTCAGAGACACGGGAGGAACGTTGAGCAACCCTGAGACATTAGCCAAGATCTCAGGACAAAATGTCTCTAAGACAGTGATGGATATGAGTTCATCTGTCCAAACAGTTACCCAATAAAGCACAGCAACAGTGTTAGCCAATGAAAATGCACCGAAAGCGGGTATAAACCCTATATAAGGGGAGAGCAAAAGAGGAATCTTTGGTTGGATCCTCCAGGCAGCTTCGAGTCAAGATCGAGATGGACAAAGAACTCTGCAGCTGAAGAAGAGCCGGGGCCACAGGGACGAAGACTGTCCTGCGCACGGGGACCAACCCATCAGCCCCGCAACATGTGGCTTCAAATCGGACTTCTCTCATCGGCTGGGTTCAGACCCCAAAGACAAAGATGAAGACCAAGGAAAAAGATGAAGACAAAGGCAAAGATGAAGACAAAGACCCAAGTCCTGTGTGACCTCACCATCCATGCAGAGATGACAGCTCATCAGAACAACAGATGCCTGCTTTCGTCAATCAACCTCCTCTTCCTCCTGCTGCAACATCTTCATCATCGAGCCAGTTCTGGGGTAAAAAACACCATACTTCGTCCGTCTCTCTAAAAGGTTCCCTTTTTAGTTCTTAGTATCAGCGTTAGGGAAAGACAGGCTAGATGATTGATTTTACTTATTTGATTATTTCTGCTACTTAATTAAGCTGTACTGACCCTTGCAAAATTGCTTTACTAATAAAATATTTAGCATAAAGAAACTAAAAGATGTTGTTAACATTCAATTAATGAGTTACCTCACAAGTTCTTTGATGGTAGTAAAATGGCTATGATGTTTGATTCTGGGGAAGAAAACTAGGTAATGTTTTATAGGTTGCTTTAGCCCAAATTTAAAACAACATCCTTGGGACTCGCCCGAGTCACTAAAACTAACCTGATTCAGTAACAAGTGCAAGTTGCAAAAAAGAGAAGGAGCGACCGTTAACAGATGTGCTCTGTGAAACTAATTGGCGGTAGACTGCTCAGTCTGGCTAATGAACAGGGGGAAGAAGAGTGAGACATCTGGATGTAGGCCGTAGAAATCAGGCGAATCCGGTCTCGAAACCAGCTGAAACAGAGTTTACTTCAGTTCTGGATCGGGTAAATCCCAGCAGATTTAGGAAACTCAATTTACCCATTAGATGGAGAGCTGGTAGCACATCTCCCCTCTCAGAAGAGGAAGTAGTGACTGAGAGAGTAGAGAGTGAAGGAGGAGGGGGGGTGTAGCAGCTGCGTTACAGCCGCAACGTGTAGCGGCTGTAACGCAGTGTGCCATCCCGTCCAATCCTGTCCGTTTCTCACCCGCTATTTTGGTTGCCATGGAAACAGTTTCTCCATCGGCCCTTTCAGATGTTCGCACAGGCACCGAGGTAACTTTCAAAATACTGCAACTATTAAGTGTTATTTTTTTCATTTTATAAATAACACATATCTACAATGTTTGATGTTACAGACAAAGCCTGTGGAACATACAAAAAAACCACCTGTCTCAAAGCTGAGGCTTGTGAGACAGAAGGTATGTAAAAGCATAAGTTAATTAATGATCTCTAGTGCACATGACTTTATTTAATTTGTTTTGTTTGTGTTTTTATTTCTCTAGGTTTCAGCTGCATCTCCTGTAACTCCTGCCAGAGATGCGGAATTTGTGCCGGCTGAAAACACTGTGTTTTGCACATTAAAGTTAAATATGCAGTTAATGAATTTTTGAACAATGTGAAGTGTTTTATTGAAAACATATGACATTATATATTGATTTTGTGCAATATCAACTTCTTATGTTTTTTGTTTCATTTATTTGTAGGTTGTACTCAAGTGACCCAGGGTGTGTTTGTCTGACGCGCGTTCTGCCTGTCCTCGTGTGGCATCCGAGTGTCCTGCTGTGGGGGCTGCCTGTCCTTTGGAGGTTCCTGTTGGCCGGGAGGTTTGTATAGTAATGTCCTGCTATTTGTATGAAGAAAAAGATTTTTCTCTGAGTGTTCTTTTCATTGTAAAATTTTCATCACATAATTCAGATCTTTTCCAAATTATTGCCATTGGGTTATATAATAAATCTGTTATGCATAAATAAAACAACATCAATTTGCAGTCAGGAGAGATTTAAACTTTTAAATGTAGATATTCTTTGAGGCCTTCCTTCTTAACTGCTAAGCCTGTGAGCAGACTCCGTATAAGAGGAAGAAACTGAATGGTTTGTATTTTGCAACGACATGTACTAAAATAATAATTAAGACTTAAGTTAATAGATTTCTCACAATGAATCAATTTCTGAAGTAATTAACAAATTTAGTAAATAGTCATTATCTGCACTATTTTGGGTGAAAAGGCCATTTGCTGTAAAATAAAAAGATTTAGAGTAATTTAAGATGCATTGTATAAAAGTCAATATTTTTTCCATTTAAGCTAAAACAATAAAAATAATAATTTCTCTGTTAGTTTTGTTATATGTTTCAGAAGTTTTTGGTAGAGAATTGTATGATTTGCTGCAGCAGAGTTGGACTGAGAGAAATTTGAAGTTTCTTGTCAGGCAACCATTAGCCTGTGCTAAAAGCCATCACAGCTAATATAATGCATATTTTAGCTGGAATTTCACTACAATAGTCTTAGATAATTTATTTGGTTTACATATTGTTTAAAACAGAACATTAGCACAATGTGTATTTTCTTTTCTAATTTTACTGAAATATTGGATAATTTTAAGTTGCAGTTCTGTTAATCATATTACATTTAATAAGAAGCCTGAGGATGTAGAAATATCATGTTTTTCATATTGTAATTGTAGACGCCTGAGGAGATGGGTCATTTACAGCACGTGGAGACCTCACCCAAAGGTCAGGCTGTTAACCCCGTTCCTTGCCGGTGTTCAAGCGAGCTTCCACAGTCTCTTGTTCCAGGAACATTTTTGGGTAGTAAACAGTCTACACATAACTCAATGTCATGTAGTGTTGTAGCAGCAATAAAACACCACATTTCTCCCATTTATACTTGGAAAACATCTGATGTAGATGAAGTCGTTGTACAACGTCGGCATTTGGCGGAATATGTTGCGCGAGAAAGACCAAACCGAGGTCCAAACCCAGAGTTGTGCAGGTTGGTTGAAGATCAGCCTATTTTTGGTCGTAAGTGGAAAGTTGGAATTGGTAACATGATGTTGGGGACATTTGATTTTCAGCAGGAGGAGGAACTTTGTGAAATATTAAAGAAATATTTGTCGAGTTATGGAATGTGTCTTTTTGGTCTTCCTGGTGCAAATACCCTGATAATCCAGCATGGAAACTACTTTGTTGTTGTGGACTGTGGAACACGGAATTCACAGGGGTTGGCATCAGAATTCGGTACCTCTGTCGTCGTGTTTAACACGTGTTTAAATGATTTAATGATTCACCTTAACCTCAGGGAATCACTGAATGTCGCTCAGTATGCAGTCTGGTATTTCTGTAAAAGAAATGTACACTAATGTGGAGACATGTGCAGCAGTTACTTCTCACACACAGGCTACAGATGCATACCATAGTGCAAGTAGCCATGTTGCATCACTCAGTGGATCGTTTCATCAGGGGGATGATCGCTTTAAATATGCTGGACTTCAGTGTGCAGCCATAAGTGCTGTTGCTTTAACGAAGCACACACTTGTCAGTGTTTTCTCATGGAATACTCACATATTGGATGATGTAGTTATTTTAGGTGATGAGCTATACACATTTTTGCGTGATAACAATTTAATCAGTGGTGGAAGTGAGCTTCTCTCTGTTCCAGACTTACCTAAAAAGATGCATGTTGATGGACAATGTTTTGAGTACTATGTTGCTGGGGATGGATGGAAGGAGAGTTATGATGCAGGTGTCCACACTAGTCTTTGGGATGGACTCAGTAGGATGTGTGGAAATTATGAAACATGCTTTATCACAATAAGTGGCAGTACTTGTGCCCTTATTAGTTGTAATGAACGTTATGCTGTTGTAGACTCTCATGCACGCAACCCCAAGGGCATGGTGCATGAAAATGGGAAGAGTGTTGTCCTTTACTTCATTACTCTTCATGATGTCTTTGTGTACATTATGAAGTTTTCTGGTGAACTCCACGACGCTCCCAAATTATTTGAAATCAGCGGGGTTCATATTGTTCAGATGGACTCAAGTAAACTTGTTCTGAACATTAGTTGCTGTTCCAGAGAGCAGTGGTCTTTTTGATGACAAAAACACAAGTGTTGATATGCAAGACGATTCTTGTGGAGTACATTCATCCCAACTTGACATTTCAGACATGGATGATGTTGATGATGTTGTTGTTACTGATGTCCAAAGTAAGGTTTTGTATTTTAACCCTGTCTCTGACGAGATTGCACGGACACTTTGTGGAAAGTTGAATGTGGAGTTTCAACGGGCAAATTCTGTATCTTATGTGGTTGGGGTGTTGGGTGTGCCGTGTATGACGGAACAAATTGTTGGAGATGGAAACTGCTTTTTCAGAGCACTTAGTCAAGCCATTAGTGGCACCCAGAAAAATCATCGCAAAATTAGGCTTACTGTTGTAAACCAGTTGCAAAGGAATTCTCACATGTATGACAGCATTTTAAGAAGTGAGTATTCCTCCATATCACAATATATTGCCATTTCAAGGATGCAATATGTTGGCAGTTGGACAACAGAAGTAGAAATTCAAGCTGCAGCTGATTATTTTGGTGTTAATATTTTTACATTTTGCGATGATAAATGGCTTGAATATTGTTCTTTGAGCACTTTTTCCAATCATGGTGTCTATTTGCAAAATATTAGCGGAAATCATTATGAGACGGCTACTTGTGTCAAGCAGCCTCAGTCACAAACATGTCATGGTTATTGCATGAATACAGATGTTTCTGGTGAATCTAAAACTAGGCAAACTAAAACAAAACCAAAAATTGCACGTATAAAGACGGTGAACACTGACACTTACATTGAAGATGAGAGCGTCGGTAGTTTACAATCAAAATACTTTGCTATTTTCTCCCATTTCAGAAATCACTGCTAAAACTCTGTGTAAAAATCTAAAAATAGACTTTGAAGAACATAGTTTAAAAAATGTAATATTGCATGGGCCTTTGGGAAATGTGTGCAAGTCTAAAAATATTATAAATGACGGTAACAGTTTTTTCAGAGCTGTAGCCTATTCACTTAGTGGTTCTGAGAAAAATCACCGTAAAATTATTGGTTATTTCACACATGACAATAATACAGAAGAATGCGCAAAATATTTGACAAAAGATTTTGCTTCTGTGGCAAATATGTTAACCAGTCACAGATGAAGTATGTTGGTCACTGTGCTACAGAAATTGAGTTTAAATGCTCAAATGTTAGGCCTGGATATATATGTTAATGGCACACAGTGGACCAGATATAATTCAAAAAGTAATAATTTCACCAATCAAGCAATATATTTGCAGAACTGTGGTAAGCATTTTGACGTCGTTATTTGTGCAAAACAAGGTGATGAAGACTCTTGCTTTAAAGTTTGTGAAGAAAATATGTCGTTAAAGAGCCAACACAGACGAACGAGGTCTTCACAAGTCCAGAAAAATGCAAAGATAACTGTTTCAAGCGGTAAAGCAAATTACGACAAAAAAAGGATAATCAAAAAATCATTAAATATAGAAATGAAATGATATATAGGCAAAAATTTAAATGTAATAAAAGAAATGCCTATAATAAAAATGTTCTATACAAGGAACAAAAAAAATTGGATTAGAAATAAATACCGTGAGGATGAGACTTACCAAAAAAAGGTTATGAAAATGAGCATTACTAAGTATAATAAAGATGTACACCATCGCAATAAAGTAAAGCAAATGAGCATTGCTAAATATAATGAAGACATATGTCACCGTGAAAAAGTTAAAGAGGTAAGTAGAACAAAATACCTTAATCCACAACATAAGATCCATAAAATATCAAATGTAGAGATAAAAAGACGAGACATTAAAATAAAATTGAAGGAGTTTGATTTTATTGTTGCTCAAGTTTTGGACAAAGTAAAAGAGGGGCCTAATTGTGTGTGTTGCGTATGTTTTCGGTTGTTATTCAAACATCAGGTCTTGAATTGTCACAAAGATTCCTACAGAAAAACGAAAGACATGTCTCTAATCGCGGAAAAATGTATAAGTGATGATTATTTGCATATATGTAGTAATGCATGCATATCACCATGCAATCTCCAAACCTGTCGAAATAAGTTGTATATCTGTTACTGTTGTCATCACAAAATTAGGAAAGGTCAAATGCCACCAGAATGTTCATGCAATAATTTGACTGTTGATCACATCCCACCTCAGTTGGCATATTTGAATAGTTTGGAGCAACATTTAATAGCTTTAAATATACCATTTATGAAGATGTTGGCTTTACCGAAAGGCGGGCAGAATGGCGTGCATGGTCCGGTTACTTGTGTCCCTGCAAATGTCGTTGAAACCTGCAGTTTGCTACCACGTAGTAATATGGAAGGATCTTTGTTGCCTGTTAAGTTAAAGCATAAATTGACATATATTCATTATGATTATCAATATGTTGACTCAATGCATGTCCAGGAAGCTCTTTGGTACTTGAAACATTCTAACTTGCATTATAAAAATGTGGAGTTCAATGAACCTTGGATCAATGAGTTTTCTCAGGAAGATAATAATTCTGTTTTAAACAGTAATACTGTTAAAGAAGAAGATATGTCCATAGATGAAAATGATGATGACCTTTTACATGACCGACAGCAACACTGCATGTTCCAGGACACTTGTCTTATGCCCGTAGATATAGGACAAGAAGCATTGGATTTATGTTGACAATGTGTTGA